CTCACATGTGGCTCCATTTGTTGGGTCTGTGCGGCGTCTCTCTCCTCTTGCAAGATCCACGGTACACAAGTCACATGATTGCTATTTTGCCCCTGAGGATGAGGGGGATTATGGATATACACAGTGCACAAATGCAGGTATTTAGGAGTCTATTTTGGCTAATTCCTAATAGTTTTGACTTTACCTTTATATATCACATGAAAACATGTTTTAACATGCCAGTGTTTGGTATAATTTTCTTCAGCACAACCTCATTTTTTTGATCTGACAATTATTTGTATGCTTTGATGTACAACATCAACATGCATGATCATCAACATCACCAACTCCTGAGGGCTGTTTACAGTATGTTGACATATTGCTGTGAGCCTGTGCTACTGTAGGTGACTTGGATTAGGTCAGAACTTGTTCTAGTTAAAATCATGTTTTCTTATTTGGGATTGTAATGCTGATTGCAACAGTTAATTGATAATAAATTCATATGTGCTAAAAGCTCTTGGGAATGTAGAACTATGGACTTTAGTTTACATTGTCCTTTTGAAAATGATTCTTTGGGATAACTGTGCTACACACAGAGAGCCAGCAAGTCCATGTAATTAAAGTATAGCAGTTCTTTAAATTGTGCTTACTCTGGGTTTTGGTCAGTTGTAGAACAGCAGTGCCATTTAATGGGCCATTTTCCTAAAATTTATCAGCCTCCAGGTCTGATGTTTTTAACTGTGACCATCTCACGCAGTGATATGTCCCTCATGGAACTGATGGGCCATTGTATACTTTGCGTTCAGCACTTTTCGCTCAATCTGACATAAACCAAGAAGTCTCCACTCAGCAAAAGCATGTGGTTTTACAAGTAGATGCTCCTTCACAAACTGTCTCTGCACTTTCTTATCATATGTGCCACTTAAAAAAGACTCAACGTACAAGCAAGGGGTAAAATATAACACTGTCACACTGTATCAACCGCATTTCACGAATACATCTAGTGAAATGCATCACTGGTGCAAACAACAAAACACCCTGCGCACATAACAGCGAACGCTGATGCTTTCTCTGTCATGTGTCAGTTAGATTTCTACCATATCTATTAAGCTCCTCCTATTTCAGCTCCAACAGAAGCACCAATTATGTTTAAGTGCCAAATAGCTGTTTTGAAATAAGCAGTAGATGAATATGTTTCAGCTGATTTGAAAGCTGGTGTGCTAATATACAGGGTTTGTTGTGGCCTTGCTAGACTGAATTGATGCAGCCATGTGGTAAATATTTGAATACAATAGCCAACAATCCGTCAGATGAATGAATGTAAATCTTGTTATTACTTTTAATTAGTAGTACATTTATACAGTAAAAATGTGACACTGGTTTAAAAAGGCTAGAATCCTGAACATGGCTACAGTCAGTATTTATATATTAACAGTGATTCACATGACTACTTGCAGGTAAAACTGGGTGCTTGTAGTGAACTTCATAGTATCTTTCATCCTAGTTTTCATCCCATAACTTTACTGTCTTGAATCACTCTCACAGTTTTCACTGCATAGGTTTCAGCCATGGCAAACAAATGTTTTCACTTGCAGTTGCAATTCTCCCTAATTGCTGATTGACCAGCCCGAAAAAAGTAGAGTGTATGTTAGTGCTAGTGTTTTGCTGAATATTGTAAACATAGTGGAGCATTAAGCAGACAAAGAGTAAGAATTACAAGAGAAGACCAAGCATCAAGGACATGGAATTTGAAACTGAAAACTAAAGTCTGTGTAAACAGGCAACTGATTTTTTACAAATTTTCCATATCAACTTAGAGGGTAATGATATGTCAGTGTTTATTTGAATCATATTTTGTCACGATTGCAGCAGGTTTAAGTGTTCAGATGTTTTGCACTCTTTTGTAGTTTTATTTATAAGTTAATAACATGAATGGACTAGGCATGGGCGATACAAACATTTTTCCTTCATTCCGATAGCAATACTTTTTGCACCTTAAAGGAAATTTACTTCCATTAATAACATTCTAGAAACAAAACTGTTTGTCATTATGTTCTGATATATACAGTACGAGGATATGAGCCTTCACGTTTGTCAACTGAACAAAACAGTTTGTCAGTATGTTCTGATATATACAGTACAAGGATATGAGCCTTCACGTTTGTCAACTAAATGAAAGAGTGGGGAACATGGCTTCATCCAAGATTCATGTAGCTCAGTTACATATTTGGGGTAGTTTAATAGAATAATGGTTCGCTCAATTTTTAAGTCACCTATAACACATCAACTGTCAACTTTACCTGGATATTCTTTGCCTTTCATGCAATGTCTTCTGATGGACAGCAGGTGGTGCAGGGGACTTTGAGGCTTGCTGGTTGTCTTCATGGTGATGTTCAGCCTCTTTAAAAGTATCAGGGTGTGTTGTCTTTAAATGCTTAAACAGGTTGCTAGTGTTGCTGCTATGTGGCACCACTTTATTGCAGACGGAGCACATGGCATTATCTTTGGTCGTGGGTGAAAAATAGCACCACGCTGCACTTTTTTTTTTCTCTCGGCCATCCATGCTGCCACGTCGCGGTGCTGCTGACTGAGCTCACTCTGAGCAGCAGAGTAAGGATTGAGGCTTGACTGAGGCTGTGCAGTAAGCCTTCAGCTCTGACAGGCTGCTGCCATAATCATGTGACATGGAAAACCATCTAAAATACGCCAGAGCTGCTTTTCACACATAAATTTAATTAATACCTAAAACTCTTAGAAGTGAAAACAAATTGCACGTTTTGTATTAGCGCAGTGGTATCGCGATATTTAAAAAAGTATTGACTCCAAAATATCGACCGGCGGGTATTGAAGTATCAATATGCCCATCCCTAGAATGGACAACCATATGCATTTTACTAAAAGTGGAGAGCTGCTGAGATGGTCGTGTTTCTTCAGCAGAGGACTTCTGAAGCTCTGTTAGAATGACTGCTGGATTGTTGGTCACGTTCCTGAACCAAGACCCTTATTGTCCGGTTACTCAGAGTCCTAGTGCTTCTAAACTTCTATTTCACAATGATTGAGGTCATTGTGCTCCTGGGAACACTCAAAGCCCTAGAAATGGTTTTATACCCTTGCCACTGATCTGTACCTTACCACAGTTTTAACACAGAAGTGTACAAAGCGTTCTTGAGCATCATGGCTTGTATTTTGTCCTGACTTGCAAAGTGAATTGTGGGACCTTATGTGCTATAATACAGTGCCCTTCTATACTATATCCAGTCAATTCAGTTTGTCAAAGGTGGACTCCAGTCAAGTTCTAGACACATCTCAAGGACAATTAAAGCAAACAGGATGCACCTGAGCACAGTTTGGAGTGATACAGGACATTTTCTGAATACTTTAGTAAATGAAAGATGTCAGTTTATATTTTTAATACAATTGCAAAAGTTTTTAAAACATGTTTTCAGTTTGTCATTTTGAGTTATGAGTTTGCAGTGATTTTAAAAACACAATAACCTGTCCAAAATATACTCAAAGGCACTTAAACGCTCAAAGGCGTACAGTACCAAAACACGAAGGGCTCTCAAGTGGTCTGTCAGAAGCCACTGTAAATATTTGAAAATCTCTGTGATAGATTATTTTAAATGGTCATGCATAAGATCATTGAATATAAAGGATCAAAACAATTACACTTTACATTGGTCAGTGTGAGCCAGTGTCTGGCCAGAAATGTGATGCTGTGACTGAGTTTCAAATGTGTGAAAAAACACAGCCCTGCTCATTCATTCCTATGGGGCACTGCATTCGTCGCAGCCAGCACCAGCATCACAGGGGGCTCCGGCAAACTGATGAAACCCCGTGCAGCAAAAAAGTTGGATCTGGTTCAACTTTCTCCACACCAGATGGTGACATCATTCGGAAAAGGCACTGCGCTGACCAGTCATGTATGGGGGACAATCGGGGCATGCATACCCATAGGAAGAAGACTCTTGTTTACTCTGTGAATATGAGCATTCACTGCTATTCACTGTAAAATTTGAGCCACAGTTAACTCACCATAACAACACGCCATGCATTTTTGTTTGTACTGGATGTTAAACGGTGTTTTTTATCTATCAGTGTCGACACACTGGTGGTAGAATTGGTGCTAAGGTGGAGTAGGCTATGTTAGCAGCATGGCTAACCAAAACACAATGGAAACTTCTGGGCTGGAAACGTGAAGCCACTCACTTTAACTTGTCACAATGTGGCCGTACCGTACACATCTACAACACTATCTTGGAGCTGAGGGGAGGGAACTGCAGATTTGGGTAATAATTTTCTGTGAGCAACCCATCTGATGGGTTATTTGATTCAGTGTTGATATAAAAATAAAAAAAGCTGCAATTAAAGAAAATAGTGTCCCCCTTTTCTCCCTGTTTTGGGTGAAATCCTTTCTGCCATCTAATAGTGGATGAACCTGTTTACTCTGACTCCTTTGACTTATATGTGAACTCATTTATAGGTGAGGAGAGCAATTTGCCTGCCACACATCATTTTCCCCGCTCACAATCAGGCTGATGCCATTTCATATTTACAGTTTGCAGATTCAGCAGAGCATTTCAGATAATTAAAATTCTGTGTGCTTTCATGAGTTGATCCACCCTCAATTTCCAACAGTACCATGTAATCAAGGGCACGATTTTCATTTTTGCTTGTTATTTAGAAAATGTCAAGTTTTGTTAAGGCTCTTTGACCTTTTCTGAAGCACTTGTGGACATTGTATAAAGGCCATGAAGCCACTGTTTTCCTAGATACCTTGAAGTCATGAAATACAAATAAAAATACAATCCTGTTTCTCAGCATTGTCTTCAGAACCTAATTACAGACACTGAGCAATGTTCTCTGCTCTGTATTAGTCATTTATGTTTGCTGCTACAGTGTGACAGCAATGCATAGTCAAATGTTTACTATGTATGCATTGTATGCATGCAGGCATCTGTTACTAACAGTAGAAGCACTAATAAAATACTAATAAAATTTATTTCCTTCTTTAACCACAGAGTTTCCATCCTGGACAACGGTAACCTTCGGATATGGAATGCAACCAAATCAGATGCAGGCCTCTACACGTGTGTGGCAAGAAACCAGTTTGGTGTGGCTAGCAGCACAGGAAGCATCACAGTTAAAGGTACGTCGTATTCTCTGTTTACATTTTATCGCTGTCTGTTTGGCAGCTCAGTCAGCAGGGACCATGACAAATAAAGTACTGGACACTTTTTGAAGATGCATGTTTTTTTCGCTCTGACAGCACATAGAATTGCTTGATATTTCATTTTATGCCTTGAAATATTATAAATAAAAAATGACCAGCGGAGGACAACCATATTTGAAGCATCCAACCAGCTCGCTCTCTTCGTCTTTTGATAAGTCATGAGGAGTGGGGATGTGCTGTCATTACTAGAGAGACAGATACACCTCGGTTGCTGTGTGTTTGCAGAGGTGTTGAAAACACTCAGCTCTCTGCCTCGCTGCTTCCACTCCTGTCAGATGATATGCTGTGTGAAACAGGCCTAGTGTTGTTAGATCATGTGAGGTGGAGATTGCATTTCTGCTATGGCCCTGTGACTTATTATATTTCATTAAAAATGTATGTGAGCTGGGTATAAGGTGCAGTGTATGGAGTGGCTTTACTCTGTGCACACTGCTGTTTTTGTGTCCTGTCTCTACAGGGGGTAGTTCCTGGGAGATGTTCTCTCATATTCAATGAATTGTGCCCTCACTGTGACCCCCTTTTCACAGAGGTTGCATGGGTCATATGTGTTATTCTTATTCGTTCTGCTTTGACCTTCCTTGTTGAAGAGTTTGTGTAGATTTATAGAATTATTGATCTTCAGCTTGTTGAAATACTGGAATAAAAGTTTGTGCCTCATCATTCAAAAGATCTGGTATAGATGTCTATGTATATTTTAATAGATTTTCATCAAATCTTTAGATAAACCAGAGCTACCATTGTATTTCCTTAGTTTTATTACAAGCAGCATATTCTGACACGTTAAGATAAACTCTAAGGGTGGGGTCCTGCTCTGCAAATTCAGACAGGATCTTTATACACCCACCTAAGAGAGTGTAACAAACTGTGAAGAGGCAGCACACACTAATCAGTATAAACCTTTCACCTGTAAGGAAAAAAACAACAACACAGGACAAGAAAAGAAAAACTCATGATGAGAAATGTTGTTTTCCACCACTCTGTGAGCTTAAATCATTTTTCCATGAAGTCTACAGCTCTTCCCTCGCTCCTGTAGTTTATGATTTTTGCTCCAAGGCTCAGTCCATTTAATTGTCTTTTTTTAATAAGTTAGCAATCTGTAAAACCTTTTGAAATGTCGTGTCAACAGAGCAGCAGTCTGCTAAAATATCAGATTTTATTTTCTCCAATTTTCTAAGACATTCTTATAGAAACCTGGTTTAATTGATGTTTTCTAACCCTACAAGGTAGTGTTTGATTGAATACTTTGAAAAACATCTATTAGTGTGGTTATGGATAACAACAAGAAGAATGTCTTGCATTGTATGTATACAGTAACCCCCTGTTTCCAGAACAATCATCACATAATTGATTTTTTTTAACTACAGGCCAGATCTGTCTTCTGTGAATTGCTATCAAGCCATGTTTCCTTTTTCTGTTGAATTTATAAAAGACAGATTTCATATATTATGAATGCTTGGAAGTCAGCAGCAGTCAAGGATGTGGGGAGAGCTTACAGTGCTCCTTGCTACTGATTTCTGCTGATGCTTCGATCTGCCTCCCATTGACGACTCTGCAGAAATAATCAGTAACCTTTGCATAATTGAAGTAGTGAAATTAACAATGTAAAATGTCAACGTTTTTTTGCTTTTTGTACCCCTACCCCACTCCCCCCGGGTGGCATGGTGGAACAGTAGTTAGCTCTGTTGCTTCACAGCAAGAAGGTTCTGGTTTCGGCCGGACCCGGGGCCTTTCTGTGTGGAGTTTGCATGTTCTTCCTGTGCCTGCGTGGGTTCTCTCCAGGTACTCCGGCTTCATCCCACAGTCCAGAGACATGCAGCTTAGGTTGACTGGTACCTCTAAATGGTCAGCCCTGTGATAGACCTGTCTGGAGTGTACTCTGCCTCTTGCCAGATGTCAGCTGGGATTAGCTCCAGTTCTTTAGGATAAGGTGTATAGATATTGGAATGTACGTGTTAATTGCTGTGAAATTTTAAACCCAGAGCTTGACTTTGAGCATAATGAAAAGTGCAGCATTGCTGCACTCTGCTAGTTACACTCTACACCTATTTAACACACTGAAATGAAAATGGTACAGAACCCCCAGCCAATAAGGGAGAGTGGGCGGGGGGGTGAAACCTGCCGCTCTCACTGTAGCTGCAGGTTGATGGCCTATATGTGATTTTCCAATCAATCTGCAAGAAAACACACCCTTGTATGTCTTCTCAGCCTAAATAGATGGTGCCGTTATCCACTTATTATTCTTGTGAAAGGGAATATGGGTTTAATTTGACACCCTCTCTCACTGGCTTCCTTTCTATCATCAGATGTTAAAGCTGTTTTCTGCAGCTGATGTACAAATCTTCCTGTATATGATCTCGTGCCTTTCTGTCACAATCGATATTGTTTGGAAAATGGGAAGGGGTAATTTACATGCACTATATTATTGAGGATTGGAAACCTGTTTAGTGGGAACAAATTTGTGTTGTGGGAGCATCCCTTATGGGAGATGGCAGTAGATGACTTTGGTGATATGAATGCCGAAAAATGTCTGTCACAAAGCATTCCGCATCTCCTGCTGTGAATAAGCCACCTAGCAAACAGTGGAGGAGCAGTCACAACAAATGAGCCCTGTTAATGTCCCCATTATTCCAACACTGGGGGGATATTAGCAGATTAATTGCACTTGATTATAGAAGTGCTCCCTGAATTTTGATTACATTGGAGATGAGCCGTTGCAGTTAGGGTTGTCTTCGATCATTGCCTGTGAGCTCCAAACACTGAAAGTGAAAAATCATGTTTAATTTGTATCATGTTCAATTGCATTTGATGTACACTGACCAGCCACTTTAATAGGCACACTTGTACAATTGTATGGAATTCAACGCAATTGCATACAACAGAGTTGTGCTGATCTACAATATATTCAGAGGTGTTCCTAATAGTCTGATCCTCTCATGTATGTAGCTGGGGAAGACAAAAAATATAGAGATACCTCTAAATGTAATGTAGCACAGTACAACTCCACCTTTAACTATGACCTCAATAATAAACAGAAAATTGAATCTATACATTTATGACAGTTTCATAAAAAGCTGAAACATTTTGAGCTTCATGAGCTTCACAGATGTTAAGGCGGAAGGGTAGCACTGAAGTACATACTGTACAATTGTCCAGGTGTGCCTATTAAAGTGGCCAGCCAGTGTATTTGACCATTTTTAGCTATTCTACATTACCAGTGTGGCTCTAGAGATGACAGTGTCGTTGGGCTACCATTTTGTTCCCAACAGCAGAAGTCCCATGAGGATGAACTGTAATAACGTCAGTGATCCCTTAACCTTTCATTCTAGTGCCATCATCAAGTCAAAATTTAAATGTCTTCAATACTTTGGTTTGTGACTCAATACCTCCAAAACTAAGGACATTTCCCTTAGCCTAAGATGTACTTTCTGTTCAGCACTAATTAGGAAATGTCATTATGCTAAGGGCTAAGTCTTTGGTCTATCTGAGGCCAAAGTTGACAGTTACAAGAGAAACATAATAAAATCTTTGACTGTCAATCCAAAACAGTGGTCCTAGACTGCATTTTGACACTTGTCAAGCAATTCAAAATATAGAAATGTACTGTCAGAGCCCGAATTATCACAAAGTGACAGCTGCGACGACCCACGTCTACAAATCAGCCAACCAGAAAATGACATTAGAAGACACAAAATATACTAGCAAGTGGACCATTTCGTAAGAGCAAGCTTTGCCATATTCACATACACACAAACTAAAATAATTAGGTGAAATGATAAAGAGGTTTGTGGATAAGAGGCAAGAGGAAAACCTCACAGAGCTGTGCCAGCAAAAGGAAATGTCAGCTGCATCGTCATAACATACCAGCAGCGCAGGTGGATGATTTGAGCTGATGACCTGGCTCTTTAGTCAATGTTGAATGTCTGCAAATATGTGAAATAAATGTGATGTGTGATCCTGACAGCCATATAGAAAAATAATGAGCAGCCATCTGTCAGTGATCACCAGCAGGTTGCTACAGATGTACCACTGCATTGCATGCGAATACAATATTGAGAGCATCTTTTATGTATCTGTTGAGCAATATAAACAGCGATCCTCCTCGCAACTGAGGTTTGTACTTGGGAGACCTTTGTCTTTGATTTGTCCTTTGAAAATAAGTGGCATTCAAAACACACGTAGGATGAGTTTGTGTTGTGCTGGTGGAAGCATTCTTGTTGGTTTGTTGATCTGAAAAGTAAGGGGAGGTAAAATCAGATTGTGAAATGTTTTCTTTTTGTTAACAGTTGCCAAATTTTTGTTCCAAACTGACCCGAGAGATTAATGGGCTTTTTGAGCAACGTGGAATACAATTTGATGCATAGTAATTTACCATTAAATACATGGTACAAACCTTAGCCCAATCTTTACCGATCTTTTTTAGAGAAGGATTTTAAAAGAGGCAGCGAAAGAATATTTCCTTTACAAGCCTGTGTTTGTCTTGAACCTTCATGGCTCCAGATCAACTGCATGAATCTCATTTTGAAGGACTTTGAGGGTGAGGCTGAGGCTTTGCTCAAATAATATGTTTTCACAATACTCAGGTCACGTGGCCTGTGGCTCTTCCATGCCCTCCTCCATGCATTTTTCAACCTCACATCATTCACCTTGTGCAAAAAACTAGAGCGTATGTATACACTCAAGGAGAATAAACACAAACATATTATAGCTTTAGACCATTAAAACAGGGAGAGACTCTGCACAGGGGGGAAGAGAGGAGTGTGAGCATTATTCATGATGGCTGGTTTTTGTGGAAAGACTGGTGAAACTGGCCATGTGAGGCATGTCGGTACGCCTCGAAGAGGAGCAGGGAGTCATTTGGTAACCGTTAGCTCGTTCTGTTTCCTGGTAAACCATATGTTATTGTTGCACAGCTTCTCTAAGTGTTCCCACTGTGAGCCTGTGTCAGTAAGTCATCTGTTTGGCTACAGGAGGTGCCCAGGGCCCTACACTTCCTGTCAGTTCCTTTGCCATAATAGGGAATGTAGTGCTGTGATTGCTGTTGCTGTTTAGCAGTAGTGGTCCAGCTAGTCGCTGCTTAAACAATAAAACATTCATCCACTTCTCCATCTACATTTATACAAGCATTTAACAATACTGGAGAAAAGTCGCCTACACCTAATCAGACCCCACAGTGTGTCTGGTAAGTTATCATTTTCTAATGAACACCATATCTCATGAAAAGAACAAAAGCAACAATGAATTGACTCACAGGTTTTGTCTGTGTATCCAAAGCCTGGTACAGCCTATTATTGGAGCAACACTGTTTTCTAAAACTATTAAAAACACATTATTGCATCGTGGAACACATCATTCTTTAACATGGACATTCTAGTTTGTTTTGATCCAGTCCAAAATACATGGGCTTGTAATTATACAGTGCTTTTCTACATACGTACTTGCATTCAAAGCATTTTTCAATATTTTGTCCATTCACCTCATTCACATACACACACACACGTCTAGCCTCACATACACACACCGTCCTGCTGCCATATAGTAAGTACTCACTACAGCACAGAAGCTGCAGCTAATAGTCTCTAGCAATACATGTTTTAGTCCTGTTTGACTAACATTTGTTAAAAATTATGTTGCTCAACTGTTTTAGAAAATTACATCACCATATGCTTTAGCTCTATCTCACACCTTGACCGAGTAGTTTTAGTGTTGCCTAAACATAATTAGATAGTAATCATATGAAGGGCAGGTCAGAATGAGAAGGGAGCTCTCATCTGACTGATGGTCTCAATAATATCAAAGTCCTGAGTTGAGATATACAGTTTAGAAACAAATTATGTTTTTCATGTTTGAAAAATGTACTAGTCTCACAATAACCCTTCCAAAATTGTGACATTGTAACCTTTTTCTGGCAGCAAAAAACAAAAGACAGTGGCTGACATGGTTACATTTAGACACAACAACTACATGGTTAGGGTTAGGGAAAGCCCCTGGGTTCAGTTAAAACACTCAAATGAAAAGTCTGTCACACACGATACTCAATGTCCAGTTGTCTGCCTGAAAGTTAGGTGTTTATTGGACATATCCATCCACCCCAACCACCACCTTCCTAGTGTTTTTAATGTTCTATACTTCTAAATTGTATGCCTTCAACAGACACTAAATGTCAGCTTCCTAATCCACATGAATGAGTTTGATAGTGGAGCACAGCGCTCATCGTGTTCTATCTGAAATCCCCTTAACTCAGTAACAACTAGTAGCAATAGTGTACAGTATATCTTTAAGCTTTTTCAAATATTTCTCCTAAATTACAAAACAGTCTGGATTTCCATTTCAGTACATTAGATGGAGATCAATATCCTACCGATCTATTATTCCTGAGAGGAGAAATTACACCTTGGACACTTGTCATTACAAAAGGTTACAGGTGTGTACACATTTACTTAGTTCACAAGACATGTTTCATTAATTTATGGTCAATTATTTATGTTAAATATTCTCACGTGTCACTTTGGAAAGAATGCATTTGAAATTTTCAACAACTTAAGTACAAACCTGTGCCTGGCACAGTGCCAGGCACAGGTTTGACGCACCTCAACAGCAATTCCTGAGGTGCCACCCAGTCTGTCTCAGCAAGTTAACATGCTCTCTATCTTGTCTCTGACTGACCCTGCTAAGTGAGTGGGTCACTATACTCTCATTTACAGAGGCAGTAGGTAACAAGGCATTATACTGTACAAGATGGAAATCAATCAAATTATGCTCAAGAGCCCAGTGTGTGGTTGTGTAACCAGCCTTGGTCGTCCATATAATCTGTCACAAATTATGACAGAGGAAGGTAATAAGGAAGCATACTCCTGCCGTCATTGTCACAGTGAATCCCTGGAGGCGGTCAGAGACAAGCAGAAGAGCTCATGTTAGAGAAGAGGTAAATACACCAATCCTGCTGGAGAAATAATGAAGGATATTCATGTTTATATGTTCCCATGCTGCAGAGATAGAGGAGTAAATATTGTTGACTGTGGTTCTATGTAAGTATTTCCTTGTAGATTCTTCTTAAGACTTAATTTTTGCTACTTCCTTCTCCTGAAATCATTTAGACTAACGAAAGCCCCCCCCCCCCAAAAAAAGTGAAAGCAGCCCTGACACTTTTTCTTTAGAAAGGTGTGTTCCTTGCCCTTAAATGTTTTTGGCTTTCTATTTCCTTTCTGCCCTTGTTCTACAAAGTGTAGCTGGCCTTTAGAAGCAGAGCAGAGTAGACCCAGACCCTTGAATACCTTCTGTATGTTATTACAACTTTGTTATTGTTCTGTCAGTGCTCACCATTTAGCCCCAGCAATAAGGACTGGGCCTCTCAGACTCACTTTCACCTTGTATGTGACGGAACCTAGCAGCTGATAGCATTTTGTCTTGATATCAGAAAATGACTAGATAAATCACATCGGGAGCCTATGGCTGTAGTGTGTGTGCACGTGTATGCGTGTGTGGGGGAGTAGAGTAAAGGGGGCAATGCAATGAAGGTATCGAATTCAGTCTAGATGAAGACTGCACTGCCGGCACTTTCTACATGAACCTATGTCTGTACAGGGATCATTTGCCATGGTTAATTTAGTCCATGTGCTCAGAGTGGTACAGTAATTTCAGCCAAGTAATCACAGCACCCCCAAGAGGGAGATGGGTGTTTTACACTCTAAGAACAAAGCCTCTCTCTTGTATTTTGCCTCTCTCATGTCCTTCCACCTTCCTCCTCCACTGCTCACTCACAAGTGCAGATAAGGGATGCTTGCCTGATTCCCATGTGATGCCACTGTAATGCACTCCAGGCTTGAAAAGAGACTAGTGACGACTGGCAGAAATGCTCGCTGCTGTTTACTGTTTTCCTAGCAGTGCGCTTAGGGAATTTTGGCCTGATCGGAGAGAGTTCCAGGCTGAAGGCTGAGCTGACAGTGACACATAGAGGTTTCTCAGAATGCAGGAGAGACACATCTCCAAGTCCCCACAGAGACGAGCTCAGGCTGAAACTAATACCAGTTATTGTAGCTATGCACCCTAGTTTGCTGTGTGCTCTGTCCCGTATATCCTTCTATTAACTGAGTCTGACATATCCATAAGGATGATGGAAGGGCTTGGCTTTTCACAAAGCCGTTTCCTGTACTGAATTATAATGCTTGGAGAAGGAGAGCAGAACAATGAGTTTGATCAAACGTGAATGGATGTGAATGTGTGTTCCAGAGCCGACCATCATCACCAGCCTGCCATCTACGCTGGATGTCACCGTGGGAGAGAGTGTGGTCCTGCCCTGTCAAGTCAGCCATGACCCATCTCTGGAGCTCAAGTTCACCTGGTTTTTCAATGAGCAGCTCATCCATTTTGGGAGCCAGGGTGGATTTTTTGAGAAAGTAGGAGGTGTAAGTCTATAATCCCAAAGGGTCTCTCACAGCCAGTGAGGTTATCAGGCCTCTGATTTTTAAACAGGCTGTTATGTTGTGAATGCTACATTGACTAACATTCAAGGATTTGTATAGAGCAGAGGAGCAGAACTCATATTGCCACAATTATGATAGATTTTATCATTTTTGGACATTTTCACTATTTAGAAATTTTGCAGCTTGCTGAAAAATACAGTTACTGTTCAGAGGTAAATGTGGCATTTGTCCTTGTGTTTCAAAATATGTTTTAATGCACAACACTTTGACAGGCATCTGTCAGCTCTGTTAATTGGTCCCAGGGGTGAATTTATAAAATTTTGGAAGGGTGGCCAGGCTGGGGCACAGACTCAGAGAGGGGTGGTACATTTGAAATAGATGTAAAAGATAAATTAAACCCCTAGTTCTATGAAATAAAAAAACATACATTATGAAGACTCAAATTGTTTACTTTGTGTAAAAATAAGACACATTGTGCTTTCTTTAGCTAACGTTAGCTGTGCTCCTTATTCACTCCTGCCCAGGGACGCCACTACTACACAGTGGTTTCCCTCCACTGAGGAGAATCATACCAAGTACTCCACAACAACACAGTTGGAGAAATGAATGCAACTATCATGCTTCATAAATGATATGAAATAAAACTAAGTTCACCAATATCAGTTATTAAGTACCAGAAAAATGTTAGTTGTATTTAAGTCAACAGTTGCAATAACTGTTTTTCATTTTTCATTCATGAATGCTGAGAATCAACACATTTTGACTCTAACAGGGGTAGCACGGAGGGTAGCCAAATTCTGGGGTTGGCCAGTGCCACCCCTGACCCCCCCCCATTGGCTCTGCCCATGACTTTTAGAAACAGCAGCTGGTAGCAGTTCTAACCAAGAGTGCTTAACGTTAGCTCCACACATAGTGAGAAATTGCTTATTAGTGCCTCAAACCGTCAACTGTGGTAGTAATGTTACCCTAAAAATAAAAATAATGTTAGCACAAATGAAAGAAGGAGCACAGAAATAATGTATGAATTTTACCCACAAAATAAGCCACTCTATCTGCTAGGTGTGTAACATTAGTGCAAAAATGCATAGGATACCTGTACAGGCAAAGTGCAAGGCTTCACTCACAGCTAATGTAAAGTAATGTAGGCTTTATCTTGATATCAAGATTTATTTATCCAATCACTAAAACGAGTAGTTGATAAAGCACAAAGAGCTTACAGGGAGGTTCCTTAATGTTTTCTTATTGTGGTATTTATTTTATTTGTATTTTTAATTAGTGCCATTGTGCTCTTTAAAAAAAACTGTTACATAAAAGACCTTGTTTTAATTTTGAACTCCCTTCAGACAGTGTACTGAATAAAAGTCGAAATGTGACTGAAGATTCATTGGTACATCAATATTATACTTCTTTTAGTAGGTTCATAATAAATTCAGCCACAGTGCAGAAGGAATGTTTGTATCAGGTCTATTATTTATGGCCAGAAAATTGCTGTCTGTGTTTTTTTTTTTTAAATGAGCTTTACATATGCACCCTGCAACCAGTCTCAGTCATCCACTGTATACTTTTAACAGTTTGCAGTTTATCTTCACATGCCTCTTTTTACCTAAAAAAAGACTCCTTTATAAACTGCATGGATAAAGAGGAAAATTAATACAGCACTGTCATGTCTTTCCTGTTTCCTTTATGATTCAGATGATTCTTGTACTGTAATTTACAGTCTAAATTATTGTCTACACTAACATTGATTGGGCTACATACCAGCCACTCCAGAGAACTCTTACTGCTGTGTCAAATTTATGACTAAACCTGCTCTTCTCTATTGAAATGGTCATACGGGGAGTAGAAACTGCAATTAGAGATGGAATAAAAGGCTCCCATAAAGAACTATTAGACTAGCTCCTCCTTTACAATGTATGAAACCGCTCTATTCCACAATCAAAATCAAGCTATTAGAGCAAACACATTTCTGTAATTACTATATAGTGATAGTTGTGATAAAATAAAAGCATGTAGGGAGGCATTTCTCTGTCCTTCACAGAATACGGAGGGAAAGACTGCATGAGAAAACAGACTTATTTTTCAAGATACACATAAGATCTTTGTTCAGCTGCCTTTGCTCCCATGAAGCCAGAAAGTCAGTATAGTTGTTGAATTACAATAGCTGGAGGCTTATTGCTTATCAAACTCTGCATGTGTGTGTGTGTTGAATGACAGCAGCATTCGGCAGGAGACATTATGATCCGAAACATCCAGCTGAGACATGCGGGGAAATATACGTGTGCCGTGCAAACAAAGGTGGACAGCATCTCTATTGCTGTTGACTTGGTTGTCAGAGGTAAGCTGTAAAATTGGGACTATAAACTACTTGAATGGTCACTATGAATGGTCATACTTCAAATGAAAATGTCTACTGACTAGATACTTGTTTATAGGGATGGGACAATATATGGACTTTAAATATATCACAATTCAAAAACGTCACAATAGGTATTGCTTTGTCTAACAATGTACTGTATATATATCATATGTTCTCCATTTCAGATTTTTTGTAAATAAGATAGAACATTGTCAATATATATAACATACATACAATGTTGTTTTAGTATGTGGACTGCCTGATCATATGCCAGTGTTTAAGGTTTTAAAACAGTTAAATAATTTTCATTTTTAAATAATCTTCATCTGCTACTGAAGAACCTGTTAGTGATTAATGTTGACTGTGACTGGTTATGCCTCACTGGTGAAGATATAAAAATACTGAAGAAAGAATGAAAACCATGACAAATACAAATTTCTTTCTTTAAGGTTTAAAGGAAATTTGCTGTCTAATTAGACCAAATATCTCCCAACAGTTTCACACTGAACTGACTTCGCTACAGTAGCCGCAGGTGCTAAAACCACTGTGACTCCTTGTACTATCTTCCCATCTCTTCCCGATTTACATTCCCTGCCCTTCCCTCCTCTTCCTCCCTCCTCCGTCTGTCTCTCTTATCTTTCTCTCCTCATTCCGGCTTGGCTATACCATCTATCAGGTCCCCCAGGGCCCCCCACCAGCATCCATGTAGAAGAAGTGACTGATACCACAGCCTCTCTGTCCTGGAGGCCTGGTCCTGATAATCACAGTCCAATTACAGCATACACCATCCAGGCCAGGACACCATTTTCCCTGGGGTGGCAGGCTGTCACCACAGGTAAGCTCTCTCTAACCAGCCGTGGCTTCCTCCAGTCACACAGAGGGGGCCACTCGTGAGGCAGAATGAAGAGTGCCTTACCTGTGAGAATACTGGAGATGTCATTTTTCCCCCCAGCACCAAATGGTACACAATTGTTGCGTGACCATTGGCCAACATTTTATGTGACTCTTGGGAATCCTGAAACATGGATGCCATACTAATGATGAAGCTTGTTGTCAGGGCTGTAATTTGATAATATAGTTAAGTGATAGCGCCACAGCATTTTTTCCACATATCCTCTTTAACGGGGCCCTTAGAATCCACGCATGACTGGGATAATGTGCTTTTGTCCCGTATTGTATATTCTGTTCTATTGATATTTTTTGAATTAAGGACACTTTGATACAAGATAATTTTACTGGCTTCATTGATTTACTGCATCATGATCATATATTTGAAACAAAACTACATTATGTCCTTGGCTTGCACATAGACAAAACTCCTTCCTCAAAATAAAAAAATTGACTTTGTGTCATTTTTAGTGGAATTACCAAAAATTCTTTCTATATTTTGCTCGTTGCTTTAATTCCACTTTACATAAACAGTGTTTAATATCACGCATGCTTTATTAAATAAATATTGCCAGATTGGTAAGTTAATAGTTGTTATATTTCTTTACATGTGATTCTTCTGTTGTGCTCTCTTGTGTTCTTGTTTGTCTGTGCATTATGTGTCCTTGTGAGGAATTACACCTGTCCTATGTACCTGTGGTGGAGTCCTACTAGGCCTGTCAGCCCTGGAGGACAGTCTACTACTGATGCTAAGCTGACACACACTTAGAAAACACACACAAACACACACATCAACAAAGTTTCTTGATACTGAAGGGGCACCATGTGTTTTATGCCAGTTCCTGAGGTGGTGGGGGGCCACCGGCTGACAGCTACAGTAATAGACTTGAGCCCTTGGGTGGAGTATGAATTTCGAGTCCTGGCAAGCAACACCATCGGTACTGGCGAGCCCAGCAAGCCATCTAAACAAGCAAGGACAAAGGGAACCTGTAAGTACTGCATGAGCAGAAAAACTTTGAAAACATATATTGTCACATTTCCTTGTCCTTTCAAAACTAATTTAATTGACTTTATTTCCTCATTTTCATTTTTTAGAGAAATATGTTTATATGTTTTCTTGCTGAGAGTAAGAAACCGATACCACTCCTATGTTTGTCTGTAATATATGATGCTTAAATTGCTTAGCTTAGTTTAACATAAAGACTGGAAGGAGGTAGGGATTAACATGACTGGTAAAGAAAACGCAGACGTTTCAGCATAGCTGCCTTACTGAAGAAGGCGGCCAAGAGATTTATGAGTTTAAAGCTTAAGAATAAAACTTAACCTGAGATAAGCTGGATTTCTGAATGCTTAAGTTCAAACATGTCAAAAATTTTACCTCTCTCTGGCATTTGGGAGTAGCAACATGGAAAGTGATTACATGTGCCTTTTCAGCACCATGTGAAGTCAACAGAGCTAAGCTGATCTGTCTGCTTCCTTTAGCTCCAAAGGTCACACCAGCTAACGTGAGTGGAGGCGGTGGTAGTCGCTCCGAATTAGTCATCACATGGGAGGTAAGCAAGCTTGTTCAGGACCCCTCTCCCATGGAGCTGGGAGCCAGACGTTATTACTCTCCATGGATCTGGGCTTCTGTTTCATTAATAACAGCGGAATGGCTTAATGTATGGCATTTCATTTTTAAGAACAGAGAGGCAATAACTGCTGCTGTCACCCTGGGGGAGAGAAAAATGCTTTTGAGGTTTCAATAAGATAATTAGGCTCAATGGCTCCTTCAGTGTCCCAACATTGTTTCCCTTTAATTTCTTTACTTTTTACTTTCTCTTTTCCATCTTTTTTCTTTGTCTTTCTTTATTCCTACAAAGCCCTCCCATATCAATCCAGCTTAAAAAGCTAATATTTATACAGGCTGCTCAAAATCATCAGACCCTGCTGTGAAACATTTCACACAATCAGTGTTGATGTTTCAGTATGCAAGAGTTCAATTAGTCTAACTTCTGACTAACAGAGATGCTCTTTCACCTCAGCCCTGGAAAATCCTGAAGCAGTTTCTTTTTGATATGAAAGCAGGAACAGAGTGTTGCATTTTTAATTTTAACTTGTGCTTAAATAAAAAGGGGAACTGTATGCTGGCAATTTCTATTTGCATAGTGTCTAGTTTAGTTACATGTGTAAAGAAACACAAAAAACCTTTGTAAAATATACAGAATTATTCAATTATATACTACAACAACAAAATAAACGCATGGTATGTACAATACATCTGTCCACTATTGTACATACAGTATGTCCATTCCTCATTTTGTCTCAAAAACAAATCTGTGTGTAATCACACATTTGTAGATTACATGTTTAATTTTTTTGTTGTTGTTTGTTTTTTAGAAACAGAAAATCTATTCAAATCACAGAAGAGTGCCTGAGTGTACTTATTAAGTGTCATGTAAAGAACATAATGTAGAAAGCCCAAATAATGTTTCAGTGTGTTACATAGAGGTAGAAAAAGAATGCTTATTAAACATTTACAAAAAACCTAAATACTTGACATTATATTCTTTTTATTTTGATATCTTACTGTAAATAAGATGAATATGATTTTTATAATGTGCAATATCAGGAGATCTTGTAGCTACTAATACAATTAATGACATATTATAAGTCCCTGTATTTGCATTTAAAAATTGTTTCCAATAAATAATGTAATATGGCAGGTATTTGTAAGTCAGTCCATTTCAACCATAATGTGATATCTTACTCTAATAAGCAAAATATTATGGCCCCCTGGATTAAAAGCTTTTGATAAATGTAAAAACAAGATCACAGCATATTCATTATAAGTATACTGTCAGGAACTCACCAGTCTCCATGATTCTCTGGGGACTGTGACTTATCCATAATAGATATAGAACACAGTCTGTTCATCCATTCTTTAAAAAAAAAAAAGACATGTTTTTTGTAGTGAGAGTGTATCATTTAGTTGACAGTAGTGCAGATAGTTGGTTTATTCACTAGAATGAAGTCTGCAGCTATAAATATACTGTACGAGGCATATTGTGGTCTGGACAACCACTGAATTTATGCTTTATCATGCTGAGTGCTCTGTACTGTGTAATGGATGTGTCCAGTAATACAATATAACCTGCTGTGTGTACAGCAGGTTATATTTGAGGCAAAGCATTGCTTCAAAAATGTGTGTTTAGTCTGTAGTTGTCACACTGTATAGTATATCGAATACAAAGCTTATTCATATACTAAGTGATGAAAAGCTTTAAATTAATACATGAGTATTAAATTGACTTTATGCAGAAAACACTGAAATTTGTTACTTTTTAGTTAATTAAGTGCTTAAACTGTTGTTTTTTTTTCTACAGCCTGTTCCAGAAGAACTGCAGAATGGACCGGGGTTCGGCTATGTCGTGGCTTTTCGTCCCCATGGTGCCACGGGCTGGATGCAAGCTGCTGTACCATCAGCTGAAGCATCCAGATATGTCTTTAAGAATGAGAGCATCCAGCCCTTCTCACCTTTTCATGTGAAGGTTGGAGTTTACAACAATGAAGGGGAAGGACCATTTGGCCCTGTTACTACTATCTACTCTGCTGAAGAAGGTGCATATGATCTCATGTTATGGAGTAGCTGTATTTGTTCAGCTAGTATTAATGAAGTCTACAGCTGAAGCATTCAGGGTCTGAACAGTGGCAGCAGTGATCTTGCAGCCAGCGTTCGTCTATCAGCAGTTGCAGATGCCTTACCCATACTTTTTTCTCTCTGTTGTTCAGATGAAACAAATAGCTTTGAAGTTGGTTTGATGTTCCCGCTTTGAGGGGTCATCAAAGCTCAGTGTTACTTCTAAAATCATTTGGACTCTTTATACATTTACTCCAGAGCCTGGCCGAGCGCCCACCAGGGTCCGTGCCAAGAGCCTCTCTGCATCCGAGATTGACGTTTCATGGAAAGCTCTGCCCTGGAATGCCAGCAAGAAAAGAGTTCTGGGGTATGAGGTAAGCTACAATGACAAACCTTGTATGTGTGTGCTACCATTGGATGCAAATGTGTTTGTGTGAGCACATGTGCAGGCACATGGCAAATAATGCTGTTGAATCTTGTTCTCTTCTATTATTGATGAGTATTTCATGCTCATGCACCTTGGGCAAAGGAGATAATAGCTTGCTGCATGCATAATGGTCTAGCCCAGTCCCATGCCTTTGGGTTTAGGGTTTCTTACCTAAGTACTGTAACCACCCTGATTAGTGTACTGATGCAATACTCTAGGGAATAGAACATTTAGCTTCTAATCCACACAACAAAGCAGCTTCAGACAGTGGCGGTGCACTAATTTAGGTCTTGGCATTTTAATTCTGCTCATTATTGAAATTCAGGATGTAAACAAAGATGTTGTATTCATACTCATATTGCATAAAGTGCCAGAATTATAAATTGTGACCACTCAAAGTCAACCGAGGAGCCAGGCCTGAGCAAACCATTCCTGTGAGGAAAGACAAATTATATTTGTGCTGTCAAGCGTGCCAGCTATTTCGGCCCTGACAAGCGGGGTGACAAAGAAAATCTGTTATCACTGGAAGTTGATGGCAGGGGATTTTTGAGGATTCTGCACTTTTTTGTTTGTTTTCCATTTTCCCCCTTTGCATATTTGACCTCACCCTTTACCACATAACTTAAAACATGCCACATCTTACAAACACAACTGAGGTGTGTAACTCACAGTGAGCAAAAAGGTGCACAGGGTGACATGCTGCTAAAGCTTGTTTTCAGACCAGTTCACATCATCCATCCAGTTGAGTTCACATCCCCCTGTTTCCAGTTTGCACTTTATTGGCAGGGTGTAACACAAAGCTTTTAAGGTGTCCTTCATGTTTTCTGCGTTCACGTCTGTGGTTGTGCCCTGTTGCTTTTCAGCTGAGGTACTGGAGTAGAAGTGAAAAGGAAGACACGGCCAGCTTGCAAAGGACGGTAGGGAATCAAACGTCTACTATTATCAGTGGGGTGAAAGGCAGCACCACATATTATATCTCACTGAGGGCATATAACACTGCTGGAACTGGGCCTCCCAGCACCACTGTCAACGTTACCACCAAAAAACCACGTAAGGGTCAGATTTTTACATATATTTCGTTAACTAACTAGTGGTCAATCTCTCAATAATGTTTTTTCTCCCCTTAGCACCCAGTCAGCCACCAGTTAAAGTGATGTGGAACACATCAAACTCCAAGATTATTCTGAACTGGGAACAGGTCAAAGCCCTGGACAATGAGTCAGAGGTCACTGGTTACAAAGTAAGCACCCATTTGCTTGGCTTAATTAGAAAATTATGCTTGGTGTCATTAGGGGGTGTGCAATATTAACAATATATGATCTGGATATTTTCTTTTCGTCGATAACGATAAGAAGACGATATTCTGCATCCTTCAAAAATGTACTTGTCTTATCTTATATTGTACAAGGTCACTCTTGTTAATGCAGTAGCATATTAATTATTGCTGCTTACCAAAGATTTAATGGAAACAAGATATTTAAGAAAAATAGTTCTTATTTATTTACTTAAAACTGAAGCATTAAAGTAAAATAGTACACAAACATTGACATTACTTTTGCAGAATGAGTCTGCTAAAGTTTACTGAGCATGTTTTTGTGCTGGTAAGTTGGCTGGTTTGGTCCTCTTGTCAACAGAAGACTCCCGAAGCTTGTCATGTTCTTCTTATTCTGTGTGGTGCTTAGTTTGCAGATGGTGAAACAAGCTGTTGAGTTGTCTTTACAGCAGCTGATTTTTTCTCCATCTTTTTAATGCATCTTTTGAGCAACATTCATCTTTTCAAAGCCAAAACACATCAATGTGAATGAGGATGATCCACATCTAACAATTAACAATGAAAATTTCAGGGCTGGTGGTGTCTGTACTTTGTCTCCAGGCACTGGTTGTTCAGTCATTTTTTTACTTTGTTAATGCATTTTTAGGCAGCTACGCTAGCATAACGTTTGGTGCGTGACCATGGACACACTGTGTACACTCTAAATGCACACACACAGTAGTCTATCCTACTTGGTTTCATGAGGCAGTGAATGTGTGGACCCTCAAGGCGTGTTTTTGATCGTTTTATAAAGTGAGCCACACACTTGAAAATGTCAGCTCACACATCATTTAAACAGCTATTAGGATACTATAGTAGATAGTACATATCACACACCCCTGGTTGTGACTTCTGTCTCTGACTTGCCTCGTCCTCAGGTGCTGTACAAGAAGAATCGACACAGCCGCCCCAACGTCATGGAAACCAACACCACATCTGTGGAGCTCGCCCTGCCCACTGATGAGGATTATATCATCCAAATAAAGCCGTTTGGAGAGGGAGGGGAAGGTAGCAGTAGCAGGCAGATCACCATCCCTAAGATACCAGGTCAGTGGACAGCTAGTGAGTGCCTCCCTTGTAGCTGAGCTGAATAATCCACTCCCCTCCTGCTGTCTTGCCAGAACAGATAAGCTATCATCATCTCCAAAGAAACAGGGAGAAAATGGGGGAAATAATGTGCTATATGATACAATTGTGCAACTATGGCCTCTATGTGACACTATAATGCAAACATGGAAAACTGAAATTCTTTAGAGTACAGTACTTTCAATATCTTATTCTTCTGTTCAAGTAACAACTCTCATGCATTTTTTGGAAATTAATATTTTCAGCTTGTAATTACTAAAGCGGGGTGGAAAGGCAGCTGAGTAAAGAAGTAAAATGTCAAAAAGTTTGTGTTGATTCCACTGTGAACAGACTAACAGCCTTGTTCTTTTCAATACTTTTTCAGGCCCAAACGCAGTCGGCTCAGCATCCAAGGTCTCAACTCTATCAGCTCTCAGTACAATAGCACTGTCTTTCACAGCGCGGACATCTTTATGACAAACAGTTCCCAGCAGACATTGCATCTGATTTGGAGACAGATCTATGGCAAAACGCAAACACAGCCCACTCTGGTGTAACTACATCCATTCATTTAGATTTTTAGAGGCAGAAGGAAGACACTGACAAAAAGAAATAAAAAATACCCCATTGAGATGACAGGGAAGGAGTCTCTTTCAGAACCCAAGTAAAGGAGAGTGACCGATGTCGTGACTATGTTGTTACCAAAGCAGCTTTCATAAGAAAAAATTAAAAAGAAAAATGTCTTATATGCATCTTTTTGTATGACATGTTGGGCTTTTGTAGACTTTGTTCTTTTAATCAATTTGAAGTCAGTCTGGGCTTATTGGGACAAGGACAATGAAGTGCATGGCAAACAACATCATCAAATTTTCCAGTCTGGAGCTTAAGAACATGATTTGACAGTGCACCGTTTATGTTCCAAAATAAAATAAGACTTTGGTTGTAAAAAGACCAAAGTGAATGAAACAATTTATTGTTAGATCTCTGCATTGTTATTTCTGCAATATTTTAAAAATATTTCCCTCAAGGACTGCACTGACATGTTGGGTGTTTGTCATTACTGGTCATCATATCAAGTGCATGAAGGGAGGATTAGCATATAAAATCATGTCTCAAGACAGCACATGCTAATGCTTCACATTTTACTAAAGTGTTAATATAGGCAAATTTGTTGATTGTAAGTGGATTTGAGTAATTAAATTTTGTTATATGTGTCATGAATCTGCAGAAAATAAGACTATCTTAACTTCAAGTTGGCATCTTATACGAGACAATGCTAACTGGTGCTAATTACAAAAAGGATAGATTTGAATTTTTGTCCAAATACTCACATACCATAAGTACACTGAAAGAGCAGATTGTAGTTCAGCCAAACTGTGTGAGATGGGGGACAAAATCCACAGGCCTTGTTCTGTGCAAAAAGCCCACTTAAAGTTGAGCTAAAGCTAGCATGAGGTTTTCTAAATCAAGTGGCTTTCTTACAAAGTTCCATTGTTTTTCTCACAAAACCTCTCTGTGTTTCTTAAATAATTCTTCTTGCTGAGTTGCGGGAGAACGATAGGTCCTGGCTGTCCCATGTAGATTTGTTGCTAGGATAGCACATCAACTACAAACCTGCTGTACACATTACTACCCAAACAAAGATACCCACTTGATTCTGTTAACTGAAGATTGCTGAATAATACTGGGAAGACTGCACTTCATTATAATTGCACTTGAAAGGGATTGCTCCACAGCCAGTCTGGACAAATGGGAGGATTGTAGCGACCGGTAATTTTTTTCCTCATACTTATGACATGTGAGAAAAATATGCTGAATGCTTAACACATCAGCATGCATTGTTTTTGGTACCAGTCCTCTTGGGTAAATTGACCAAGAACTCCTAAATATTTGATGAAGTCACTGAAGTAATCCATGTGGTAGTTATTGATCGTGTACCAGAATTAGCACCATGCTGTTATTGGAGAACATTTTACCTGGCTTTCTCTACCATGGCCACTGACCTGCACTGGTGACCAGACCCTTGTGGCTGTCTCATGTTCCCCGTTCTTTCAGTTAGCCCTGTGTCTAGAGCTATTCTTTGCCTTCTGTGTGCCTCATCATATGTTCAAAATCCTCAGGTCCTTAAAGAGCCTTAACTTATCATATGTATATCAAAAACAATAGAAACAGAACTATAAAGCAGCTGCGGTGATGTTTACATGCTGCTGTGTCGATAGATGTCGTATGTGGTCGGGATCGAGGTGGGGGGCAGCATCCTTGGTCCTATATGCTGAGGTTACTGAGGTTAGTTTGAATGGCATTCTGCTGTTTCGCATGGGATACTGGCAATATATGAGGCCTGGTGCATTTTTGTAGGTGTGTATTCTTAATAAAAGACAATGCTGCTGATCTTTTCCTTTTCTCATAGTCTCCTGAGGCCATGTGGGACTGCTGTGCTGCAGAGGTACAGTGCAGTCTGTATGTAGCTTGTAATCCAGTTACCTGTAAGTAGTTTGTAGTACTTTGAAGGGAAGTGTACTGTAGGCTACTGGGTCTTGCTCAGAATCATGCATCAAGAAATGTGTAATATACTGTTTTGTACACTTCAAATCATTTATATAAAAGAACCTTTCTAAAGAGATGATTTACTTGGTTTTTATGTAATAACTCTGTTTCATACTGTAGCTAGCTGTTGCTCAGCATGACTGTACTTTGTCCTCTCTCTTCTGTCCATCTGCAAACCGACTGAATGGCTTTAGGAACATGCAAGGTTCATCCATCTGATAGGTTTGTGTATACTGTACAGTATGTGTACCATGACAGGCCCATGTCTATGCTTCTGCCTCAGTCAGCCCCTCTGAGATGTACTGGTCCACTGTCCATATACGCTCCACATGAGGGTTTCTTTGGTTGCTGTTTGTTGTTTATACTGTGTTAATAAAGATAATTGATTTATAGAACAATGTCATGCTCTGTTTGTCCTTCCCTCTATATACACCTACTGTATGATTAGGCTGACATAAACAAACTTTCTACATCTGTCCACTTCATACAGTCTAATGCTGAGTAAAACAGATCAGCCTCAGAGTTTAAATTCTGGGAAATAATTGTTTTTTGTAAACACTGTCTTAGATGTGTGGGTTTCCATCTAAATATAGCACAAAAGTTTCTGAATTTTGAGAAAATCTGCAAAAGAAAATGAAAATCAGTGCATGTTTCCCTCCAAACTGTAGGAATTGGTTCATCCAGATAAACAATTGGTGGCACAAATTTTCCAGTCAGGCACCATGAAACCACTGCAGAGGACACAACAGGATGGTATAATTAAAAAAAATACCAGTCACACCTCGAATGGTGAAAAAAATGTAGAAAATATGATGGAAAATTCATGCATTTCTGTTCATTGCATGTATTAATTGGAGGAATGTTACAATCTCCTCATCATTGCTGCTGTTTTCCATCTCTTCAGGGGATCTTTAACTCATACTTATCACCTTTTCCACTTTTGCCACCTTAAAAGTGCACCACTATTTTAAATGGCATTTGTTCAGAATACAACCCCAAATCAAAACAATTTGGGACGGCATGCCAAATCAAAATTAAAACTGAAGATAGTGATGTATAAATCACTTGTGTCCTGTATTACATTGCAAACATACATACATTTGATGTGATACCTCATCAATTTTATTCTTTGTTCAAAATAAACTCTCACTTCAATTCTGATGCTACAACACATTCCATAAAAAGTTGGGGCAGTAAAGCATTTACCACGGTGTGATGTTGCCGTTCCATAAAAGACATTTACAGACTGAGGACATCAAGGTGTCATTTTGTCCCATTCTGCCTCCAAACAAGTCTTAAGGCTTTTCAGTCATGCAATTTTTATTTCAAAACATGCTACATATTCTCTGTTGGGGACAGGTTGAGACTGCAGACAGGCCAGTCCAGCACTCACACCCTTTTTCTCCACAGTCAGGCCAGGGTAATGTGCAGGATGAGGTTTTGCATTGTCTCATTGAAATCTGCATGGACGTCCCTGGAGAAGATGTCGTCTTGAAGGCAGCAGATGTTGTTTCAACATCTCTGTGTATTTTTCAGCATTAATGGAGCCATCACAGAAGTGGAAGTTACCTTTGTCAAGGGCACTGACACAACCCCAGACCATGACAGACCCTGGCTTTTTGCCTTTTTTCTGGTAAAAATCTGGATGGTCCTTTGTCTTTGGTCCGGAGCACACAGCGTCCATTCCTTCCTGAAATACTGATTGGTCTGACCACAGTACACGTTTCCACTGTGTGATGGTTCATCCCAGATGCCTCCGAGCCCAGAGCAGTTGACTTCTGGACACTGTTGATCAGAGAGCTCGGTCATCCAGCTTAGACTTGTGTCCTTTACACACTGAAATCCCTCCAGATTCCTTGAATCTTTTAATTATCTTCTGCACCATAGAGGGTGACATATCCAAATCCCTTCCAATCTTTCTTTGAGGAACATTCTTTTTAAATATTTCAATCATTTTCTTGCACAAGCCTGCAGTCCGCAACCCATCTTTGCTCCTTCTCCTGGATGCCATGTTTGTACCAAATCATGATGCAGTCACCTGTTGACATCACCTGTTTCAAATGGAATCATCATTTCATTGTTTTACCTCATTACTGGCCCTGAAATGCAGCCGTCCAAACTTTTTTTGGAATGTGTTGCAGCATCAGACTTGAAGTGTTTATTTTGAACAAAGAATAAAATTGATGCGCTATCACATCAAATAATGTGCTGCTGTGTTGTTTTCAATGTAGAACAGGATACAGATGTTCCACACATCACTATTTTCAGTTTTAATTTTGATTTTACATACCGTCCCAACTTTTTCTGATTTGATTTTATACAATCAAATGCTTGACAGATAATGCCTAAAGTTTGGCTACACAGTTATAAAAAGGTCTAGATAAATAATTTGCCTTTATTAAAAAGTACACCAGTGATGTGCACTTCCATGATGTTGGTGTACATGTGAAAATCTATTTAAAAATAACATGGTCCCTCACTTCCCATAATTCAATTCAATACAGTTAGATCCTCCATGCCCCAGAAACCGCTTGTGTCACAGACATGTTTGAAATACTGTAGCTCCAGAGCCCAACCTGAGATAACCCTGGCAATAGCAGCAGGAGTTATTTTCAGGCATAACAAAGCTCCTCAGACAGAGAACAGCATACACCTCATTTCACAGGCAGAGTAGTACTCCCTTTGACAAGTAAACTGCTGAAAGACAAAGGTCAATGCAGTATTTTTAGACCATTCATTTAATAACACATAAATGCTAAAAAATGCTTAAAAAACACATGGCAATTCCAAAACTGTGTCCTGAAATGATAATGGAATTTGTTTGTCTAGTTTAGAAATGCACTAGGTGGCACTAGGAACACACAAATAACAAGTCTACACCATTGTTATATGCATTTTGGCCACAAGATGGCAATACAAAATAACTTCATTTTCCCTTTGTTCCACTACAATAACACAGTAATCCTTCATTACTCTGATATTACAAAAGCCCTTTATTACATATAAAGGGACATTTTTAAGCTACAACAATTTTTCCACAGTTGCACTTACTCATTGTTGTTAACTAGTCAAAGTGAAATCCCTCTCCCTCTTTTCAGAATCAGAGACAGTGTTTGAATCATATTGAGACATTTATTTATGCATGTATGTTTTCCATTGAGACTGAATGCAAATACAGCAAATACACACCACCAAGCACTAGGGGAATGTAGAGCAAAAGCAAGTGGAGAATTGAAGGTGGAGGCTAAACAGCAGGGGCAAAAAGCTTATATCCATAATGCTGATTTTCTATGTTAATGGGGCCAATAAATGCTTTCATCTCACTGAAAACTAACAGACTTCTTTTTCACTACACTTTCTTTTCATTCTTTATGAGACTAGTGTTTCACTTTCAAGAAAGCTCCTCCTCCCCATGAACTGAGAGGAGTGGTTGTTTCTATGTCTACCTCGTGGTGGTGAACAGCACTGATAACTGTGGCTCCCACAACCACAACTCTAAACATAAGGCACCCATTCGTGTGGCATTTCTGTTACACTGCTGTTCTTCAGATCTGACGTTCTGCCTCATCCCTTGAACCCAAAAATTGCTCTTGTCGATTTCTACATAGTTTACAGGATATACACAGAAGTATGGATATTTATGGATAAATACAGGCCAGCCATCCTTCAATTCACCACCTTGCTCATGGTACACATGTTCTTTCCTGATGTCAATTCTCTTCAGTCAGTAGTGTGTTAAATACTACAGTAAAGATAGGTCATGTTTCCCAATAGTTTATGCGCTGCAAGCATGCGCCTTTACAACGGTCCAGTGTCATATGGCCGGTTAAAATAAAATAGATCAAAACAGAATATACAAATCATCCATTTGGGAATCCATTTCCACAGACACATCAACAGCAGGTCGACAGTTTCAAGTCAGAGCACGGGAGGATTATTGGACGAGGGAAACAAAGCCATAGGGGACAAGTGCTGGAAACACTCCTTTGAGTCTCACTAACTCTGTGTTATAGGTTTTGGTTACGCTTCGGTACGCATGAGAGTTCACAGTTTTCTCCCTTTAATGGACAGATAAGAATAATGGCTGCTTATTGCAAATCTCACAAGCAAGTGCGCTTCACTGCTCTGGTTAACAGGAGCACAACGATGGCGCAACACATCTAACATGAGTCTGGCTCTCGCAGAGGGATTTGTATGTATAATGTGATGCATAGTATCATATCAAAGGTCAACCAGGATATATCTTATGTGACAGCCAAAAGGTTCTGTGGATAATTATGTGTGTCACACTATGAGTCTCGTCTGTAAGGGGACAGGGAAGAAAAGCACAGGCCTCACGTACAGCACTCCTATAAATACAATTACAAATTCATACACCATAACTTAAAAGAGTTAATCCAACAGAAAACAAAAAAGTACCCATGTTAATATTGTGGTTTTGTACCTTTCAGGCAGTGTTTGTGAACATGCACAGTGATTCAACATCTACATTGCTTATTCAAGTTGCTGTTTAAAGCTGCAAAGGTCCATAGTTTGTTATGACTGTAAATCAAATGTAAAGTCTCCAGTTAAGGCTGCAAATCTGTAAATGTAAATCTTAACCAAACCTGTGCTTCCTTCAGCTCTATGCAGTGTTTTATCCTCAGTTAGATCACTGTTTTGGTTTTACAATCCACAGGTTTTGGTTCATTCTCATCACTGCTCTCATCAGCATCATTTCCACTAGCAGTTTGCAATTTTCTATGAAAAACCTAATCAGCCACCTATGTTCAGACTGCAGACACAGTTAACAGCAAGCTAAGGAATCAAGCTGCTAAGGAATAAAAGCTATAATAATACAGCCAAAAAGAGAATGAGTAATGTATCAGAACTATGACTCCAAATTAATGGCAATTTTGTTTTGCATCGGGTGGATGATTAAATAGATAACTCTTTGCTAACACATTAGCCACAACAAGTCTGTAAGGTGAGGATACCTCATTGTTCTGTTTACAGCTCCTAGTGGCCAAAAAGTCCGTTACAGCAGGTTCAAGAAATGAATGACTGAATGATTATTGACAGGGACATCACTTAATATTTTAAATCTGGAACAAACAGCAAACAGATTCCAGATATTTCAGGCACAACAAAATGACTGTAAGTCTGTCCCTCAGTTCAATGAATTTCACTGAATTGCATCACAGCTTCACAATCTGGCAAACTCTAGGTCTGCATCTTACACCCTGTAGAGAACCCTGCCATGTTTCACTTAACATCTTGCAAAGGAACAGAACAAACAAATTAAGCCCTTGTCAGAGGAGGACTTGGATATTAAAGAGCGCTGTCAGCATGTTCGCACCTGAAGACTGAAATGTCCAAAAACACATGAATAATATATCAACTGTTTCCTGATGGAAGTCAGTAAAATCAAGTATGAAAAAAGTAAAAACAGCACATTTCTGAAACAAACATTATTTATATTAAAATTTCTCTAAAAAATGTGTGAACAGCATTTCTACACGTTGATGGTGAGTTGACACCAAAATGAAAACAGGAACAGTGAAGGTGGGAAAACGAGACGAGGACAGTGATGGAACCAAAGCAGAGTTCCAGCTGTCCACTGAACTGTCCTTACATTCTTCAGTAGAGTCTGTCAACATTAGCATGTGTCCATTACTGATTGGTCCAGTCAGGTGTTTTCATGCATGCGTGTGTGTGTTTGTTTGTTTGTTTTGCCAAAGTTTCTCCAAAGGTACTCAGTCTTATAGATTTCAAATATGGACATGTCCCTATTTTTTTTTTATTTCCTCCGCAAATATTTCATTGAATCATGCAGATTATAATCATCTGATATTATACATATTTCATACACAAGCAAACACTGGACATAAATTAGATCCTCTATAGATAAAAATTGAAAAAGCTAATGAGACAGCTGTTGATTATACTGAAGGTGTCGCGGCTAAAAGGTGGCAACAACAAGCAAAAGGCTGCCTCTTGCTACTTGGCACCAACCTCCTGACCCCACCACCAGCATCGTCCCCATACTCTCACTCAACCATTCTGCTCATATATATTCATTTCATATGTAACAGTAGCACAGGGAAGATATTTATGACTTTAAAACAGAAAGGAGGTTTCAAGGGAAGGGTGCTGGGGCTGGAGAGGGTTGGGATTTAAAAACTGATTGATTCAAATGAGTCAAACTGCCTTAGATGAATATGAGAGTAAAATTTCAAACAAGTGACTCTAACAGAAGTGAATTCAAATAGTAAGAGATGTGACCAGGTTTCTCTTTCGATTTTGCATCACTCCACTTGATTAAACAGAGTAGTAACTCGTGTAATAGAAGACATTTCCTGTTCCATAAGCAGGTGGAGGACCGAGATGGGCTGGGATAGAACGAGAGGGAGGGCAGGTCGGATCAGAAGCCGAGTCACAGTTGGTATGTCTAAAGGGACTGGAGTGGTGGTCTACTGCTTCATGGAACGCAGTCTGTTCTCGTGTACACAGTGGGGGAGAGAGTCCTGTTATCCAGTTGGTGGCATACTGCAGAGCGAGGCAGGAGACCCGCGGCTGAAGGATCCTCTGTCCCCCCTTCTCAGGAGCCACCATGACCAATCAGGACTGCAGCGAGACAACAACACACACGTGTCATCACACATAGACAATGACAGTTTTTGAGCTAATGACACCCTGGTCACAGGCATAACGGCAAGAGTGAAAGAAATCTGTTTGCAGATGTTTTGCATCTTTGTATTCATTTTGTGTCCCTTTGTAGTTGATTGACTTTCCAACAAGAAATGTCACCTCAAACAGTGGTTCTGTGCCTGGCAGGCCTGTTCAGTAATCCATCCATGTACACGAGGCATACTAATCATGTAACCTGTGACTGTGAACACTTTAATAGTCACATACCTCTGCTCTCTGCTGCCGCTCCTCAGTGGGAGACTCTGTTTCCCTGATTACCACTGCTTTTGTCACCAGCATGTCGGGGTGCTGCTGCTTAGCCTCTTGGATTGCCATGGCGAGCGCCTGGGGACATAAAACATGAATGTATGCGTCATAAACCTCACACAGAAGCTTCCGGTGCCTTAAGATTTCTTGAAAATACAAGTGCAAGTCTTGCAGCCGTTCACTAATCCTCCTCTTCACCTGATGTTGGTCCACATCATCGTCTCCTGTGATTATAATCCTTTTCTCAATTCTGGTTTCTGAGTAGCCTCCTTTCACAGTCTGCAGTGGATGAAAAAACATGATTTACATCTGTCCATTTTATTTGACCATCTACTCCAATATGTTAACAAGGGGGATGAGACATTTATTTTTAGCCTTTATTTGTGCAAAACAAAATAAAGTGGGATAATCTGAGCAAAAAGACACAGAGTCAGTTATCAAATTAGCACAGATGTAGAGTGTGTACACTCTTCAGAGAAATACTTTTGGTGTGACGAGTGCATGTACACGAGTAGCGTGGCTGTGGGAGTGTTCAGGTTAGTGTGGAAATTGGCTTAAAAAAGATTTTTAAAGAGTAGAAATGGGAGGGGAATGAGGAGTGAGAAGGATATACAGCAAACTAATGAACAGGGACAGAGAAGAAGGGAAAGACCAAAAGAAGGGACCTGTAGAAACATGTGCATGTATTGACATACACTATATTGCCAAAAGTATTCACTCATCTGCCTTCACATGCACATGAACTTGAGCAACAACCGATTCTTAATCCATAGGGTTTAATATGATGTTGGCCCTTTGCAGCTATAACAGCTTCAACTCTTCTGGGAAGGCTGTCCACAAGGTTTAGGAGTGTGTTAATGGGAATTTTTCACTATTCTTCCAGAAGCGCATTTGTGAGGTCGGAGACTGATGTTGGACGAGAAGGCCTGGATCACAGTCTCCGCTCTAATTCATCCCAAAGGTGTTCTATCGGATTGAGGTAAGGACTCTTCCTGAAGAACAACCCCACATCATAATTCCCCCTCTCCACCAAGAACGACCCCACATCATAATTCCCCCTCCACCAAACTTTACTCTTGGCACAATGCAGTCAGACAAGTACCGTTCTCCTGGCAAGTGCCAAACCCAGACTGGTCCATTGGATTGCCAGACAGAGAAGCGTGATTGGTCACTCCAGAGAACATGTCTCCACTGCTCTAGAGTCCAGTGGCAGTGCGCTTTACACCATTGCATCTGACACTTTGCATTGCACTTGATGATGTAAGGCTTGGATGCAGCTGCTCGACCATGGAACCCCATTCCATGAAGCTCTCTACGCACTGTTCTTGAGCTAATCTGAAGGCCACATGAAGTTTGGAGGTCTGTAGCTATTGACTCTACAGAAAGTTGGTGACCTCTGTGCACAATGCATCTCAGCATCCACTGACCCCGCTCTGTGATTTGACGTGGCCTCCCACTTCGTGGTTGAGTTGCTGTCATTCCCACAAACAGTTGACTGTGGAATATTTAGTAGCGAGGAAATTTCACGACTTATTGCACAGGTGGTATCCTATCATGGTACCACGCTGGAGTTCACTGAGCTCCCGAGAGCAACCCATTCTTTCACAAATGTTTGTAGAAGTGGTCTGCATGCCTAGGTCTTGATTATATGCACCTGTAACCATGGAAGTGATTGGAATACCTGAATTCAATGATTTGGATGGGTGAGTGAATACTTTTGGCAATATAGTGTATGTATATTTGTAAAATAGTCAAACTATGACTTGGTTTGCGTTAGCTGGCACTCCCAGCAGCAGATTTCATAATGAAAATTATAGGTTCTATGTTATGTTACAATTAGCATTCTTTTTTCTTGTTCCTTTCCCCCCATTTCCCTCCTCCTTTTTTCTACTGTTCAGGGATGAGACAAAAAGTGGACCACAAGAAACAGTGATAGTGGGCTGACTTTAGGCTCCTGTCATTAAAGTGTAACCATGGGAACAGATAAGGTGTTACGTTACCTTGGTCACTTGAGTTGTGGTTGCTGAAGTGACACTCTCAGCCATGAAAGTCAGTGGGGACACTACAGACTCCGGCCCCTGGGTGCCAGCTTTTACCTGCAGTACATTTGTTGGAGGGGGAGTCATACACACTGAAGGATCTGCTGCAGACACACACACACTCATACACAACAGGGTCTCAATCTGAAACACGGCTTTTAAGTCTGAATGAATATGGAACAAGCAGAGCTTCTTTTTAAAGGATTTCACTTTCTTATTAAATGCAGCAATTTAATACTGCACTTCTATAAAGTTAGGGGACTCGCAAACAACTGGTTTAAAAAAAAATTTACAAACAGAAGCTTCAAAGTCCAGGACATCCTGACATTTATTTCCCAGTATGGGGCAAATTCCAAAAGCATTTCCCATAATGCAACCTGTCCATTGTGAGGCCTTTCCTGACCTTGCATTTAAGACACCACACCTGCAGTTTTTAACACGGGCTTTCTGTTTACAATTTGATTTTCAGCTATTGAGAGGGGAAATAAAAAAGTAACAATGAATTCCTTAACTTATCGCCTCAATGTTCTAATCCACATTGGCTGTTTGATAAAACTGAGTCTTTGTTATATTGTGACAATCCCGTCCTGTGGACATTCGTCTCATGGATGACAATGCTGATACAGTACAGTATGTTCCTCTCTAAAACTATTGATTTTTTACACTTATTCAGAAGGCTACCCAGTAAAGGTCAAAGATAGTAAAGAAGCCAGAGACAGCACAATGGGTGGAGTTCCTCTTTCTGCCACCACACACATACATTATATTGTCACACTGATATATTTCCTCTATAAAGATACTTACAGGGGAGCCATTTTCTTTATGAGCAGCCTCCTGCAGGCTGATGACTCCATAGTTCTGAAGAACAGACAGAAACAATCTTGAGACTTGTGTGCAGAGTCTTTAATAAATGTATAATGCATAAAGCTACAATAAAGGAACTACAGTATTAGATGATCATAAAGAGACATTACTTTGGGGGACTCAGAGAACAATTAAAAGACATAAAAAAAGTTTTTAAAAGAGTGATTAAAATTAATATGGAAGAGACCAAGATACTCACTTCCTAATGGGCTCAATTTTAATGAAAAAGCTAGATACTACTTTCTACCGGGGCTTCATAATGTATTCACACCCTCTGGGATAACTTTATGGCAAAACATAGCCCAGGACAAGGGTATGAATAATTTCTAAACAATTTCTTTGAGTGTGAAATGGAAGAAGTTTGTAAGCACCAGGACTTTTCCTGGAGCTGGTCACTGGCCAAACTGAGTAACCAGGCAGGGAGGTCACTAAGGCCAAGGAGGAGGCTTAGAACCTAATGGTCCCTCTAACGGAGTTTCAGAAGTCCTCAGCAGAGATGGGAGAACCTGCTGAGGACCACCATCTCAGCAGCTCTCCATCAATCAGACTTTTGTGGCAGAGTGGCAAGACAGAATCCACTTTGACTTGTAACAGTGTCCAGCTGGAGAATATTGGAAGAGAACCTGCTGCAGAATGCAGTGACCTGAGAGTGGGATGGTTCACCACTCAGCACGGCAACAACCTGAAACCAAAACCTGAAACAGTGGAGTGGCCCAGCCAAAGCCCAAACTTAAACCCCATAGAACATCTGTGGAGAACCCTGAAGGTGGCCGTTTGCAAAAACTTCCTATCCAAACTAAGCTTTAAAGAATCTGTTGAGGAAGAGTGGGACAGACTGCTCAAATCCATATTTGCAAAGTTTGTAGAGCCTTACCCAAGCAGACTCACAGCTGTAACTGCTGCCAGCAGGGCTGCTACGAAGTACTGAATTAAAGGCCTTGATGGAGGCCAAAGCTAAGCTAAGAGTAGAGTGAATACTCATCACCAAATTTTCAGGTCACTATAGAAGCACAACTCCACATTAATTTTTATATAACTCCACAATTTTCTGTCTTTAAGTAAACATCTCTTTGCAAATATATTCACCATATGAACTTTATAAGCCAACGGTATGTTGTTCTGCTGCCCTAAGTGGCCAAATCAAATCAAGTAATGCTGCTTTAAGCAAGTACAATCTTCTTTTTATTTGCCTCAATGAGTTACATTCTAAATTGGTGTGTATAGCCACAGTCAGAGCAATGAACTGTTTATGAACGCCATTCTCAAGCTGAACCAGTTCCTTATAACGCAGTGCGGTGCCAATGCTACCCACATGCAAAGCCAGTCAGTGCCATGCAGACAGCTGGCACGGAGCAGCAGCCAAGCCTTTGTGCTGTTGTTCTCCACCACAACACACATGACATGTCTCCCTCTGCTGGCTGAACAATGCCACTGCTGGGGATCTTTGTATGTCAATAGATGGCATCATCAGCCATTTACTGCAAATACACACACACACACACACACACCTGTGGCTTACACTGACATCTTTGAAAACTCAACACTGATCTGGCACTTCAAAGGCGCCCACTCTACATCATTGCCTGAGTTCATCCACACCATTAGCTGAATGGCTAAAGAACTGATGACATTTTAAAAGACACCTGTGGGACAGTCAGCCAGCACTCAGATCTGTGCCTCCAGAGATGAATGGGATTCGCATCTGCTTTCATCATCTTCATGAATGTTCTGTCAATACTTTAATCACTCCGTAATGATGCCATTATGTCATTTGTGTCTGAGGAATATGGGCTTTTTGTCAATGCAGCCCAAGGAAAATGCATTCTCCTCTAATCATGACCAACTGCCATGTGCTTTGCAAAAAAAATATTACAGCCTTCACAGCAATTCTATTTGTTGGGTGACTGAAAGAATTCATTTTGTGTTGTCCTCATTTCCCCTTTTTACCAAAATATTGTGTTAAAATGTAACAACATAGAGAAAAGGTGCAACAGCAAACAAACAAGTATATAGTATACAACAAATCCATCACAAGTTCAACACAAATCCAGCACAAAAAAGTTAATTTACAATACAAATTTTAAGTTAATACCTGTGGTGAGACATTTATAATGTTGGGGTGGACCTCTGATCCATTCGTTTGTGTCTCGGTCTTGGTATCGGCCCTCTTCAGCATATGGGCCATGCTCACAGCACTGGCGTCTTTCTTTGCCACAGGAGGCTGCGTGGAACACAAACGGTACATTGAAGTCAAACAGCATCAAGCAATTTCTTCACACAGTGAAGACCCCTGATGTCCTGGGGACAGCGGCACCGTGCTTATGAGGAGCCTATTGTTCAGAGCAAAGCATCTGAATAGTGTTAACTTAAAGGAACAAACTGAAATAGAGTTTTTATTTTAT